TCCGTCGAAAAACATTCGCAACATGAACATCAATTTCAATATTAACACCAATAATAAAAAAAAAATTGACGAATCTCAATACTCAAAATAATGACAATGATAATGATGATGATAATAAGCAAACCCAATACCGTTATTATCCATTGTATATGCGCAGAAATTCGTCCATTTTTTTTTTTTTTTTTTTTTAACCACGTTTAGGTGTTGCCAGGTCGCCGAAAACTAGATTCCAAGGTCAGCTTCCTACCTGGCTATATTTAGGCTTCAGTGCTGTTTCAAGGTGAATCATTTTGCGATATCCTTTCGTCGTGAGTGTTTTGAAAAAGAGTAATGTTCCTTTTTCATTATCATTGTTATTGTAACAACTGGTATTTACTATTAATATCATTATCCTTATTCTTGTCATTTTCATTACTCACTGTCCTGACTTTTATTGCTACCATTACCATAATCATCACAACTATTAGTATTATTGTTATGAAATCGCTAATGTTGCATCAACCATCACCATCATTCATCACCATTAATGTAATAATCATCAACCTATTGACTCTACAGTAATACAGTAACCAAGCAACCGAAACAAAAACAGACACAAAAATAGGACCATACGTGACAACACAGTGACCTGGCAACCAAACGTAAAATAAATAAATAAATAGATAAATGAATAAATAAATACACGTGACAACACAACAGCCAAGCAACCAAAAGTGAAATAATTAATAATAAATAAAATAAGATAAAAAGTAAAAAAATGACAAATAAAAAATGTAAAAGTAAAAAAAATGAAAATAAACATGTAAAAGTAAAAAAAGAATGAAAATAAAAATGCAAAAGTAAAAAAAAAAAAAAAATGTACAAGTAAAAAAAAAATGAAAATAAAAATGTAAAAGTAAAAAAGTAATAATAAAAAACAAAAAAGTAAAAAAAAAAAAAAAAAAATACCCACACGTGACAAGGTCTCCTGGAAACAGAAGCATGAACGAGTACGGATGTAAAGAAGTCATATACTTTTAAAATAACTTCAATTGAAAACATCCGTCGGGCTCTTGTGCCATAAGGATGTAATGCCGTCAGATTGTTTCATCACACAGTCACTATAAACATCCGGTTGGGTTCATGGTGTTGTTGATGTTGTTAGATTGTTCTGTTGTGAGTTAAGTATTATTATCATTACTGCTATTTCTTTTCTAATTTCATCACTATTGGTATGGATCATTTTTATTGCTGCTACTGTTGTTTTTGTTGCTATTACCATTATTATCATTATCATAATTATCATTATCTTAATTATTATTGTTGTTAATATGATCATCATTATCATTACTATCATATTCATCGTTATTTTTATTATCCTTAATGTTATCATCATCACTACTATCCTTATCAATATCTTTATTATATTTATCATTACCATAATTATTGTCTTCCTTCTTATTCATATCATTAACATCATCATTAGTTGTAGTATTAGTAGAATAATCTTTATTATTATTCGTTGTTGTTGTTATTATCATTATTATTATTATTATTATTATTATTATTATTATTATTATTATTATTATTATTATTATTATTATTATTATTATTATTATTTTTAATACTATTATTATCATTATTATTATTATTATTATTATTATTACTATTATTATTATTATTAATATTTATTATTATCATTATCATTATTATTATTATTATTATTATTATTATTATTATTATTATTATTATTATATTATTATTATTTATTATTATTATTATTATATCATCATTATTTTTTTTATTATTATACTATTATCATTGATATTATCATCATTATAATAATTATTATTATTATTATAATTATTACTATTATCATCATCATCATTATTATTATTATTATCATTATTATTATTATTATTATTATATTATTATTATTTATTACATTGTTATTATTATTATATTATTATTATTATTATTATTATTATTATTATTATTATTATTATTATTATTATTATTATTATTATTATTATTATTACTATCATCATCATCATTATTATTATTATTATTATTATCATTATTATTATTATCATTATTATTATCATTATCATTATTATTATTATTATTATCATCATTATTGTTATCATCATTTTTATTATTATTGTTATCATTGTTATTATTATTACTATTATTATTATTGTTATTATTATTATTGTCATTATTATTATTATCATGATTATTGTTATTATTACTATTATTATTGTTATCATTATTATTATTATTATTATTATCATTATTATTATTATTATTATCATTATTATTATTATTATTATTATTATTATTACTATTATTTTCATAACTATTATCATTATTATAATTATTATTATCATTGTTATTGTTATCATCATCATTATCCTCCTTATTACTATTATTATTGGTCTTATTGTTATTATCATTACTTTTGTTATTATTGTTATCATTATTATTATCATTATTATTATTATTATCATTATCATTATTATTATTGTTATTATCATTATTATCATTATTATTACTATCATTGTTATTAATACTATTGTCATTATTATTATTATCATTATTATAATAATTATTATTATTATTGTTATTATTGTTATTATTATTATTATTATTGTTATTATTATTATTATTATTATCATTATTACTATTATTATCAATATTTTTTTTTTTCGTTATCATTATCATTATTATTATTATTTTTATCATCATTATTATTATTGCTATCATTATTATTTTTTATCACTATTATCATTATTATAATTATTATTGTCATTATTATTGTTATTATCATCATTATCATCATTATTACAATTATCATTGTAATTATTGTTATTATTATTACTTTTGTCATTATTATTATTATTATTATTATTATTATTATTATTATTATTATTATTATTATTATTATTATTATTATTATTATTATTATCATTATTATTACTATTAATATTATTATTATTATTATTGTTATTATTATTATTAATTATTACTATTATTGTTATTAATACTATTATATATTATTATCATTATTATTATTATTATTATTATTATTTTATTA